GCGGCGGCCGGGGCTGGTGGCTGCGCGGAGGAAGCGCTCGGCATGGAGCGGGCAGGGGCGAGCGGTGAGAGCCCCGGGATGGGGGGAAGGGAGGGCTAGGGGCCCTGGAGAGCTATGCGGGACGGGGAGGAATCGAGGCCGATAGTGCTGAGGGGGCCCAGGGGCTCACTGTGGGGTACGCCGTGGGAGATAGACCCTCTGGGGTAGAGGGGGAGATCCTGCTGTGGACGGGGTGTGGAGCGATGGTGAGTGCTCCTAGAATGGAGGGTGCTGGGGGACGTCTGGAGGATGCTGGGCTGGGGACATCCCACAAAGGCTTGAGTGGCCCTGTGGACCGGTCTTGGGGAGGGGAGTGAAGGGGCTGGGGCCTTGAGAGGAAGGCTGGGGCAGCCTGGGGGTATGAGGGTGCCTTGTACCCGAGGGGGTGGGCAGGAGGTCCCCACGAAATGGGCATATGGGAGCAGCTAGGTGTGGAGGGGCTTGGGGTGGGCCTTGGAGTGAAGGGGAGACTGGAGGCACCTGGGGGTGCCCTGCTACTCCTGGGGCTCTGGGGTGGCCTCAGGATGTGGTTTCCTATGGGGAGGAACTGAGGTGCCTTCAGAGACCTAGGTGTGTGGACCATCAAATGAGGGGGGCAGGGGTGACTCCCTGCAGATGGGCTGATGCTGGATCCCAGCCTGACCAAGCCATCCTACTGGGAGATGTCCCAGTTCCACAGCCAGATTGGGGATGTTGGAGGTATCTCTTGCCTCCCTGTTGTGACACTCCTCACTTGTCCCACCTGCTTGTGTTAGCAGAGGCCTTGGCCACTTTGGGGTACAAGTTTACAGGATACAAGGCCAAAGCAGGATCATCATCAGCATCTCCTCTTCCCTTCTGCATTAAACCCCAGACATCCCAGGTTTTCAGTGGCATCACACTACAAACTCTAGGCTTCATGGCCTGATGAGCCTCTGGGCAGTATCACATATGTGGAAACGCTCTCAGAGTTTCTGGGAACAGCAGTGCACTGGTGGGGAGTGTGAGTGACTTGCACAGTAATGCTGGGAATGTACAAGAAATCCCTTCTTACTGGTTGTGCCAAATGCTGCGGTTGTGTCTTATGCCCTGTGTTCTTCTACCCTGTGTCCTTATGCCCTGTGTTCATTGCAGGAGAGCAGAGAAGGCGGCTCCAGGAGTACATAGCAGCAAAAGAAAAGCTGAAATGCCCAAGTGCAAAGTAAGTCCAGGAGGGTGCTGGACGAAATGGTCTGTAAAAGTCCCTCCCAACCCAAATCCCTCGATGATTCCCTGGGGTAAAGCTGACATCCCGGCTTGCCAGTGTCTGCTGCCTTCTTTCCCCTGTGCTGGGCATGTACGAAGGGGCACCTCGAATCCTGGAGTCAGTTTTGGGTCAGAAAAGAGACACTGAGGAGCTGGAGCATATCCAGAGAAGGGCAGTGGAGCTGGAGAAGGATCTGGAGCACAAGGAGAAGGGTCTGGAGAACTTGTGAGGAGCAGTTGATGGAGCTGGGGGTGTTCAGAAGAGAAGGAGGCTGAGGGGAGACCTTCTGCTCTGCAACTGCCTGAGAGGAGGTTGGAGCCAGGGGAGGACAGTCTCTGCTCCCCAGGAACAAGTGATGGGACAAGAGAAAACAGCCTCAAGTTGCCCAGGGGAGGTTTAGGTTGGATCTTGGGAGCCATTTCTCCATGGAAAGGGTTGTCAGGCCCTGGCCCAGGCTGCCCAGGGCAGGGGGGGAGTCTCCATCCCTGGAAGCTATGTGGATGATGCTGAGGGTTGGTGGGGACTAGGCAGTGCTGGGTGAATGTGTGGACTCCATGATGATCCAACTCCAACCATTCCACAGTTCTCTCTGCAGTGATTCACTGGCATATGGAGTCGCCTCCTCTTAGGGCTTTGCTGTCCCAGCAGCACCCAGTGGAGCTCGGTTCCTGCTGCCCCCCAGCCGTGCTCTGTAGTTACGGGCAGCAGCAGCAAAGGTGGTTTGAGTGTTGACATTTCCTACTGGTTGATGTTGTCTTTCTGGCTGTTTCTGAGCCTCTGTGAGACTGGCTCAGCTCTTGGGTCTGACAGAACATCACCTTCTGCCAACAGCTCAGCTGGTCCTGGAGCTTCAGGTCTCACCACTGCTTTTAATGGAACTTTCCAGTGGCCTTTGGGATAGGCAGGAGTATTTTCAGTGCATTTGAAAGGAAATAGAGCCAACTAGTAAATGAGTCAGGACTCTGGGACTCCCAGGGTTCCTGGCTCAATTCCTAGCACGCTCTGCTGGGAGCAGACCAGGCACCTTCCTGTAAAGCTTGTGACTGAAACTGCTGAGAGCTCAGCAGACCTGAACACTTGAAACACTCCCCATCACAGGGATTTCTTTTGACCTTTTAGTGCAAAGGAAGCCATAAAACTTCTCCTTGGGGAGAAGATAAAGGGAACCAGGATCAGAGAGCAGAAAGAGCCCCTGGTATAATAGAAACAAGGAGAGAAGGTTCATGCTCTTTCTTCATGGCTTAGCACACCATTTTTGGGGTCCTGGTGGACAACAAGTGATCCATGGGACAGCAATGTGCCCTTGTGGCCAAGAGAGCAAATAGTATCTTGGGATGTATTAAGAACAAGTCAAGGGAGGTTCTTCTCACCTTCTACTCTGCCTTCGTAAGATCACATCTGGAGTATTGTGTCCAGTTCTGGGCTCCCCAGTTCAAGAGGGACAGGGATATAGTGGAAAGGGTCCAATGGAGGCTCTGAGGATGATGAAGGGACCGGAACATCTGTCTGATGCAGAAAGGCTGAGAGACCTGGGGCTGTTTAGTCTGGAGAAGAGAAGAGGGGACCTTATTAATGTCTATAAATATCTGAAGGGCCAAAATGGGCCAGTCTCTGTTCAGTGCTGCCTGTGACAGGACAAGGGGAAACAGAGCCAAGTGACAACACAGGAAGTTCCACCTCAACAAGAGGAGAAACTTCTTTCCTGTGAGGGTGACAGAGCCCTGGGACAGGCTACCCAGAGAGGTTGTGGAGTCTCCTTCTCTGGAGACTTTCCAGACCCATCTGGACACGTTCCTGTGTGATCTGCCCTGGATGTTCCTGTTGCAGCGGGGGGGTTGAACTTGATGATTTTCAGAGGCCCCTTCCAACCCCTATGATTTTATCAAATACTCTCCAGGCTCTTCTGTTCCAGAAAAATATCTGTACAATAATCTTCCCTGATGACTGAGCTGCCCACTGTGGAGCAGAAAGGTTGGGAGCATGGCTGTCGAGAGGAGACAGAGGAGAGCTGGAGGGAGCTGACAGCCTGGGCAGCTGAGGAGCTTGTCAGCTGTTGCCATGGCAGAGCATACCACATCCTGAGGTGCTGCTGTGACCTGGCTCTGGTCACCTTGGGTCTCTGTGGCAAGGAAGACATCATGGTGCCAGTGGGGGCAGAAGCCTCCAAACCTTCTGCTGGCTCCTGCCTGCCAGGCCCCGCTGCTGGTCACTTGTGTTGTGAGTGGAAGCCACAATGTTTGTGACAACCTTGGGTGTCAATGCTTTGTGTTGCTTTTGTGTTGCCACTCAAAAGAAAAAGAATTAATATTACGTGGTGCTTCCTTGGCAGCTTTTGGATTTCCAAAAGCCTCTTCTAAGCTCCTGTGATTGAGGCACCCAGCAGTGTGTTAGATATTGAACCTTTCCTGCAGCAGCTGTTCAATAACCTGAGATCTTCTCTGACTTCCTGCAGACCCTTTCTGAAGGACCAGACCAATCGCCTGAATCCAACCTTGGCACGAGTTTCTAAACTACAGCATGTAAGTAGAAATCTTTTGAGTTGTTTAGCCTTCTGCACTTGAAGCAATTCTGGACAGAACAGGGTGCCCAGATCAGGATGCTGAGCTCCTGACCCCCATGAGGTGCAGTCAGCAGGTTGCTAAAGAGCTGGCAATAACTCAACTAATAGTTTTTCAGAGGAACTTAGTGTGGGAAGCTCATCCTCTGCCCATGCACTGGTGGGTGTCATATCATTGTTGAACCTGCTTTGTCACGATGGGACTTCATGTGGGTGTCCCTTGGACTGGCAGAGCAGGGGCAGGAGCCAGCTGTCAGGTTTGCTCCATCTGCAGGGTCTCCTAGGGGCTGAGTTTTGCTTTGTCTCTTCAGGTTGACAGAAACAAGAAGGATGTTCCTGGCAGTGTGGCAAACGGCCCTTGGAGGGATGGGAAGCCTGCTGTCAAACCCAGGCAGCATGCTGGCCAGGCTGCTCAGCAGAAGCCTTCAAACACCACACAGAGAGTAACGGTGGTGTGTCCACAGCTGAGGAGGAGCACAAAGCATCCCCTGGGGCCCTTGCTGAGCTTGAGCCAGCCTACGCAGCCCAGAGGGAGGCTCCCAACCTCAACTGCTACTCACCCCAATCCAGAAAGGAACAAGAAGCCCTCAGAGGGGACTGTCATCACTGCAGCCCCTCTGCCTGGCAGTGATCACCCCCCTCCTGGGGCACTTTCTTCCCTAGATGAGGGCCTGCAAGACAGGCTGGCCTGCAACAAAGAAAACCTCCCAGCACAAGTCTCTACACACCCAGTGCTGAACAGAGTTTTTCAGTCTGATGGAAACAATCTTGGGAACACGAGAGCCTTGGCTCACAGGCAAAGCTCAGCTACGAGCTCAAGAACTGTTCCAGGCCCAAAGGACAGAATTAATAATCACCAGGCTAAGGAAGGGCCAGATCAGGATAAATTCAGGAGAGCAGCACCAGGCTCCAAGAGTGCATCTCAAAAACCAAGTGTCAGAACTCAGCCACTGCAGCCCCCTCAGTTACTGGCTGCTTCTGCTGATTTGCTGCAGAAAAATATAGGGGCAAACCAGGAAAAAACTCACCTGGCAAAGGAGCTGAGAGGGAAGCTGCTCAGCGCACGTCCTGGAGGGGGCCTTCAGCACTGCAGTAGGCGCCCCCAAATGAGAAGATCTCCCTCGAAGCTTCCAGCCTGCAGCAGGCCCCAGGGACCCCCAAACTCGAAGTCCAGCCTGAAAGCAGGTGGTACCCTGCCATGGCACAGGCCCGCAGCACAGGGGCACAGGAGGGATGCAGAGGTGGCACCTCCTGGCCGCACAGCCACATCCCAGGTGATGCTGCCCCAAAACCAGTCTCGCATCGCACACAGCTCCAAAATTCCAGCACTCAAGAGTGGTTTTGGGAACAAGGGAGTCAGGCTCAAAGCAGAGGTGCCCAAGGCAGGTCAGATACAGGCCAGGTGTGTCCCCAAGATCTCGTCAGCTGCGGATCGTAAGTAAGTAGCAGAGGTGGCCAAGTGTCCTCGCCTCCAGGGGACAGCACAGGTTAAATTGTTTGACTGGGTGAACCAGTGCCAGCCTGCTAGAAGCTGGGTCCAAAGTCCCCTTATCAGTGAATGCCCATTTGGAGCTGGATGGCCCAGGGCAGAGCAGGGTGGAGATGCGATTTGGTGGTCCCTGGGTTCCCTCCCACTGATTTAGTAGCAGGAGAAGAGCGTGCAGCCTCACTCCTGTTTTATCTTCCAGGTGTGCTTGCACTTGAGAGTGTTTTCCTACCCCAGCCAAGAGCTTGGATGGGTTTTAGGATGCATGTACTGGTGCTGCTTCTTCCTAAACAGCTGGAGTTGGATTGAGGGAGATTCCAAGGGAAAACAGTAGCCTGGCAATTGTCTGCTGTGGTGGTAACAGTGATCCTGTGGTCCTTTGACAGGAAACAGCTGGAAGAGTGGTTGGCATCCAAAGGCAAGACTTACAAACGACCACCTATGATGCTGCTTCAGAAACAGGCAGTGAAGCTGGCTGAAGTACCAAGAAGTACCAAGAAGAAAGAGAAGCAAGAGGAACGAGAGCAGCCCTGCCTGGAGAAGATCAACAACATATTCACCAAGTGCCTGAAGCTCGTTGAGGAGGTGGGAATGGGAAAGGAGCTGCTTGAACAGGCTCTTTTTCTCTGGGAGCATTCTGAGAGACCAGGGCCATGTCCCCTCAGCAGCACAAGGGGTTTGGAGCAAGAGTTCTTGTTTGCTTGGCTGTGGTTTCCTACATCATGTGTAGGAAAAGTCCTTGTGAAGTTAGGGCCAAGCCAAGGGCAGGCAGTGAGCTGTGCTCATGGGGAAGCCAGAGTGACACCCAGTCACAGGGCTTGTGTCTGTCACTGCCACTGTCAAAAAAACTGCACTCTGCAGCAGTAATTCCAGCAGCAGCTGGGCTTGACTGAGCCAGCTTGAGGTCCGTGGTGGACCTCACAGCCTGAGGCAAGTCCTCAGTGCACCTCACAGCTGCTGTGAGGTACCACCTCTGGCAGAGCTGAACACTAGCCCTGCTTGGGGGTTTAGTGGCTCCATTGGTGCCAGCACTGGAGGGTGTATCTCTCTACATCACTCTGACTCATTTTACCAAGGGGAAAACAGCAGTGGGAAAGCTCATGTGTGTCCAGAGTTGTGTAGAGGCCCTCAAACCTGACTCTCCAGAGGCTTCTCTACCTTCTCTACCTAGAGAGCCCCGGGGCTATGGAACATGGCTCCCCCATGCACATCACTGGCCCTTCCCCTGGGCCTGGGCCCTTCTCCTTGCAGGGCGTCGGGGCAGAGGAGCTCTCTGCCATGCTGTCCAGTGTGCCCCAGGCAGAGAAGTTTGCCAAGTTCTGGATCTGCAAAGCAAAACTCCTCGCCCGGAGCAGCTCGTTTGATGTGACGGGGCTGTACCGAGCCGCGGTCTGTGCTGGGGCCACAGTGAGTGCTGTGCTTCTCAAGAGTTCCCCCCATATTCCCTGACTCTGTACCAGTGGGTTTCCTCAAGATCCAGATTTCAAGCTGAGTTTAGCAGTGCCAGCCAGTGGTGAAAAAGCCCTTTGGAGCTGCTGGTCCCATTTTGTCCTCAGATCAGCCAAGCAGGCGGTGCTGGGTGGGCATGGATGGGGCTGGGGGAGGATGGGGAGGACTTGTGCCCTTTGTAGTGTCGGAGCTGGAGCTGGGAGCAACATGACAGCAGCTCTGGGCTGTGGAACTGTCACAACTGCTGGGATTTTCCCAGCTGTGCCTGCATGCTGATGGGTCTTGGAGAAGGGATTTTGCAGCCTTGGGCCACTGTCTCCAGTACAGGGGCTCACGATGCTGCAAAACCCTTTCCTCCTGTTCAGTTGTAACTGGAGTCTCTATTCCCAAGTCAGGCCTGCCTTGACCTGCACTCTGCTTTTTCTGCAGCCACTCCAAGAGCTCAGAGAAGTTGTCCTTGATATTTTGAAGGCTGCAGACCAAACATCAGAAGGTAACGTGTGGGGGTCCAGCCAGTGCGGGCAGCATGGGCAGGCAGGGCTCCTGGCTGCTGTGGCAGGGAAGCAGCACGGTTTGCAGCTTGTGCCAGCACCCCTGTGTCCCTTCTGACTTTGATGGCAACTGAGTGTTGTGAAAGTCTGGAATCCTGATCTCAAAAATGGGGCAAGATTCCTTGGTAATGGTCCTGGCCCATCACAGCTCCACAGCAAGGTGCTCCTTGCCTGTGTCAGGATGTGACTCCTCCCCAGCTGCTGCTCTCAATAACTATGCTACCCTTTTTCTCTCTTGCCAGGGGACAAGGCTGGGGGGCCCACAACACCTTGTCCCAGTGAACGACAGCATGTGGTAGTGACTCCCTGCCCAACTGGAAGGCCCCTGCCCAGCCTGCCCCTCTCCATCAAGTTACAAGTTACATCTGCAACCAGGTAAGGCTGAGCTGCTTCCCCTGGTATTGAGCACCCTCTGTACTTCAGGTCAATCCTCTGCAGGGTTCACCCAAAGAGTCTTGTCATCCCCACAGAAGAAGGGAGTTTCTGCAAGGCCAGGAGCTGAAGTTCCTGACACCAGTGCGACGCTCGCTGCGGATAGACCAGGCTGGGAGCCACTACCCAGAGATGCTGAAGGACCATGACCCTGTGGTGTCATCCCTCAGTGAAATCCTAGATGCTGAGGAGGAGACTCAGTTCTTCTTCCGGAAAAACAAGGCTTTGCCAGAGGTGGCAGAACTGGAGGGGCTGAGGACTTACCCCCCTGAGTGCTGCTGAGGGGTTCCCAGCAGGGCACAGGCCCATTGCTGCCTCATGCACCCTCCACTGACTTGTCACCCCTGAGATGTAAATGTGTGGGGGTGGCAGCTCCTAAGCTTGTTTCAAACCAGTAAGCACTGTTTTAGATAAATAAACACGTTCAGTAGAGCTGGCGCATGGCCCTGTGCAAGGCTGGGGTGAAAGAGGTGGGCTGTGTCCCCAGGACCTCCCATGTTCCTCTGCTGTTATGCACACCCTGATGATTGCTGTGGGACAACGACAGGTGGCCTCTGCAACCTTCTTGTGTTTTGGAAGCCATGTCACCAGGGATTTGCTCCACAGCCATGTTGTGCCCTACCTGGAGACCACCTGGGTGTTCCCTGCTGAGGAACACACAGATCTGGTGCCTCAAGCCACACATGGCCTTCTGAGGAGGCTGGAGGCAGTATGTGAAGGGTGCCAAGTACTTGGGGTGCAGCAGGATGGGTTCCCAGAGCCCTGGGCACAGCTGGGGGTGGCTGAGCTCTCTCGGTGTGCTCAGGCCCCCTCCCTCAGGGACTACTGGTGAGGGGGCAGTTGCTGGGGGGACCTTCTTGTCCTCGTTCCACTCCTTTGGCTCCTCTTGACACAGCCACCACCAGTGCTGGCTCAGCGATTTTATTGAGAAGACTCTATGCTAGAAGAAGTCTTGGAGCAGGACCTGGAAGTCCAGCTCTGGTCTGCGGAGAGTGGCAAGTGCAGACCCCTTGGGTGCAGGACACTGCCAATGCGGGGG